TGTCGTTGTTGATGATGTTGTCGTTGTTGATGATGTTGTCGTTGTTGTTGATGTTGTCGTTGTCGTGCTGGTATCTTCCCCTTGCGAAGAAGGTATATTTATCAGTAAGAGGTATACGAATAAAAAAGTGAGCAAAGACAATATTTTCTTCATCGCCTGCACACTGTTGTCGCTCTCAATAATAAAGCAGAAATACCATCTACACATGTACACCTTTTATATTTATACAGGTCTTCCGCAGTTTAGTTCGTTCTGTTGACCAAAAAAGTAAGCGAGGGCGTGTAATATTTTCGCCGAATATTCGTCAGCGATCATCGTACTTAAAAGATCTCCCTTCACTGATGCAGTCTTGAAAATAAATAACACCATACTTTACGATATGATTTAATATATAATTTTATTCAAATATCATGGTTGTTTCCCTCTGTCTCTTTTACTACCTAATCAATCGAACACAGTACAACTATCAATAATTTGTCATCGTATCAGATTAACGAAAAATAAAAAACTAAGTAAATGAATAGTATAAACTGTCGAAGCCACGAGACCCAAAGATTATTATTTTGCAAATTCGCTTCCGCTTTGTAGTAAACCTGAGTGCAAAACAAAAACTAAGATTTTCTCTTTTCTCTAACGTGCTCTCCTGCTTTTAAGAACCACGTATAATAAAACTTCTTCAGGGCGTGACTCTGAGCCGTGAGTATGTCACTTGTACCCATGCAGACAATAAACGGCCAGAAAGGCGTTTAAACGCGTTAAAAAAGCGTTTACACCGTTTTAACTCGTTTAAACGCGTTTACTACTGAATTTTTCACTTTTAAATCGTTTTTACAGTTTATTTTCAACTAAATTTGACAAAACCATTAAAAACGCCCCAATTTCGTGTTTTTTTCGAAAAAAAAACGTTTTAACAGTATTTTTCCGTTTTGCTTCGATTACCAAAAAAACAATCAAAACTACAAAAATTTTATTATTATGCTGTCAGTAAGTCATGTGCAACGTCACTAACTAGTTGCTAGTAGGTGATAGTCTGCCCTACTAATCTGTTACTAATGAGTAGTAAATTTTTAATTTAACTATTCTCTGACAGTTATGCCTGGTTGAATGTATCTAAATCACGTAACACAACATAGTGAGTAATCAGTCTAGTTACTTTCCAATAAGTAGTAAGTTTTACAATTCGTTGTTTATTAGTAACAGGCAACTGATGGTTAGAACATGTATCTTTTCCTAATAAACAGTAAAGGATCAGGTCCGATATTTATTATTAGTGAACAGAAATTTTAAACCAAGAAAATTTTTTTATTGTCATTAAGTCGAAGTCAAAATCGATAGCAGTATAACGATCTTACTGAAAATACTCCGTGTAGTGACTTTACATATTCTATATTGATGTATTGTCAGTGTATCTACTCAGCAATATTCCACTGTCAATTAAAAACCGTTAAGACAAATATTGTTCGGTGTCAATATCTGATGAGAATGTAAGAAAGCTTATCTTTGATTTGCATCAGAGTAACTGCCATAAACTGATTTGCTAAACAGGAATAGTCGTGCAGCACATCCCATGCTGAATATCTTTAACAATCAGCGTGTAGACAATTAACGTTATAGTGATTTGTTCAATGAATATTATAACATCATCTTAACCAATATTGGTTTATTTTACTGCACATTTAAGAAGATTAATTCTAGCTCAGTTGTATTTTGTGAATTATAATAAGTGCAGACAAATATTGTTAACGTTCAAAAACTAAATGGAAGGGGGAAATCATCATTAATGTTACTACATGTTAATATATCATATTAACAACATAAACGATTCCTTCCTTCTTAGATTATATGATAATCATAATCTTCTCTATTTCTCTTTAAAGTGCAAGTACGTATGAGCAACAATCATGTTTAACCAAGATAAACAAGTTATCCTGTTCTCATATAGGTTATAATTAAAAAATGACATAGAGTTTAGCTGTTTCAATAAAAGTTTCAAAACTTGACTATTGTACATTTCATCTAGTTATCATCGTCACATAGAAACAGAGTTATCATCAGTCCGCATTTGCAAGGAATTTTTTCCATCCTGTCTTTTCTTTCCGTCCGTCCAGTTCACAGAAAAAGGAAAAAAGAGGTCATTCTTTTACCACTCTCTCGTCCGATTATACGTCTGTTCTTTTCATTTGGAATTCATTTGTGTTCTGTTTCATTCACAGAGTAGTTGCCTAACTGAGTAGGCCATTTTATTTCTAACGTATACTTAAAATGAATGTTAAATTCACTATATGTAATGGCACATACTTCTTTTGTGTAAGACTGGATATATTCGAATTAGATAAGTTCTTTTCTGCGGAAATCACTCAGAACGAGAGAAAGAATAGGGCACTTACTGCATTGCTATTAATAGTGAGTTTCTGTGAAAAATACTTCAATATTCACTAGGTTAGTGTTGACTTAGACATAACATGTACGATACTTATGACAATTCAACTAGCAGAGTCGCTCGCATACGATAAACATAGCAGGGTCCATTAAATATTCCTCACTTGAAATGTTTCATTTAGAATGTTCATCACGAATACGTGTGACATATGAGATGTTTGAAACAGTTTAGTTTTCTACTCGATGAAAAGGGAATCTTAAGTCATCGAAATATGAATGAGCTGTAAAAGAAATATCGTCACTACAGGAAAAAGCAGATAGCATTCTGATGCATAGTTGTGGCTTAATCAATTTCGCGACCGACTTAATACATACTATAATTATGAGATTTCGTAGTGCGTTGATGACATTTCTAGTTATATCATATCTCCGTACTTTGATATTTTAGAATTTGATCGAAATGAAGTTAAATTTATTAATGCTACTTGAAAAGAACATCTGTCTACCATAGTACACTGTAAAAAAAATTCGTAGAATAATAAACCCTAGTACTTAAGGAAAATCTTCCTAAACCCTTAAAGGGTTTATGCTTGTGTGCTAAACCCTTAAAGGGTTTTTGTGCGAAAGGGTTTCTGAGAAAAAGGGTATTTAAAAATAAAAAGGATTTATGACAACCGAAAAAGGGTTTTTTGTTCTACCCTTTCATGAAAAGGGTTTATTATACTACGGCTAAGGGTTTATTGTTCTACTCTTTTATGAAAAGGGTTTATTATTCTACGGCTAAGGGTTTATTGTTCTACTCTTTTATGAAAAGGGTTTATTATTCTACGGATAAGGGTTTATTGTTCTACTCTTTCATGGAAAGGCTTTATTATTCTACGGCTAAGGGTTTATTGTTCTACCTCTTCATAAAAAGGGTTTATTATTCTATAGTCGAGGGTTTATTGTTCTACGGCAAAGGGTTTATTGTTCTACCCTTTCAAGAAAAGGGTTTATCATTCTTCGCCAAAGGGTTTATTGTTCTACCTTTTCATAAAAAGGGTTTCTTATTCT